CTCTTTCAGCTTTCTCTTATCTGGAAGCTCTTAATCTGCCCTTCGATTCTAAATGACAGCTTTGCTGGGTAGAACAATCTTGGCTGTAGGTGCCTGCTTTTCATGACTTTGAACATTTCTTACCAGTCCTTTCTAGCCTGCAAACTTTCTTTGAAAAATTACCTGACAGTCTTATGGGAATTATTCTGTAGATAATTATCAGCTTTTCTTTTGCTGCTTTTAAGATTTTTCTCTTTATTTTTAACCTTTGGCATTTTAATTATGATGTGCCTTAGGGTGGGCCTCTTTGCATCCATCTTGTTCCGGACCCTCTGTGTTTCCTGGACTTGCATGTCTCTTTCCTTTACCATATTAGGTAAGTTTTCTCTCATTATTTTTTCAGATAGATTTCCAATCTCTTATAAAAGAAATTGAATCTGATATTTTAAAACTTCCCACAAAAACTCCATTAATTTAGAAAAACTAATAAATTTCTCACTCTTTCTCTTCTCCTTCTGGTACCCTTGTGATGTGAATGTTGGAATGCTTTGAAGTTGTCCAGCAGACTGCCTACACTATCCTCATTTTGGGGGGATTTTGTTTCCTTCTTGTTCTGCATGGTTGTTTTTTGCTTCCTTCTGTTCCAAATCATTGATTTGATTCTCACCCTCATTCTCTCTATTTTTGTTTCCCTGTAAACTGTTCTTTGTTTCAACTGGTATATCCTTTGTTTCTAACTGGATCATCTTTGCTGTTGAGATCTTCATTAAGTTCCTTGGGCATCCCTATAACCAGTGTTTTGAACTCTGCATCTGCCAGTTTGCTTATTTCCATTTAGTTCTTTCTCTCAATTTCTGATCTCTTCTTCCAAATGCGTCATGTTTCTTTGTTTCCTAGTTTTGGCAGCCTCCCTATGTTTGTTTCTATATATTAGATAGAGCTATTTTGACTCTGTATCTTGGTAGTGTGCCCTTATGTAGTAGGGGTCTTTTAGTGTCCAGTGGCACAGCCTCTCCTATCGAGGTATGCCCTTCCTGTGGGCTGAATACACCTTCCTCTTATAGTGGAGCCTTGGCTGCTGCTGGCAGATCAATGGGAGGGATTTACCCAGGCCAGTCAGTGGCAAGGACTGGCTTTGACCACTGACCACCAACATCCTCCCTCTGTGGAAAATCAGCTATACAGTGACAGGATGCTGGTGCTCCAATGTGGACTGTAGCCATCCACTGGTGAGCTGACGCTGGGGTATCCTGGGTGGCGCAGGCCAAGTCAGCCCCCACTTGTATTTTACCTGGAGCCACCCAGCAGGGACTATAAAACAATCTGAGATGGCTTCCACTTGTGCTGGGCTTGGAGATTCCCAGGTGAAGCCAAGGTTTGAATTTAGGCTGGTGGCTGCTAGTGCTGAACCTGGGGCTCACTGAGGCCAGCTGTTGCTTGTTTGAGAGGATTTAAAAAATAGGTAAGCATGAGCCAAGACCATCCATTCACATGGAAAAGCAGCTTGGGTGGGTCTGTAAGTTGGGTGGGGCAGAATCTCTGGGGATCTCCCAAAGCAGAGCAAACGGTATTCGTCAGGTTGACAGAGTCTCAGATATGGCACCAGCTTGCCCACTCTATTGGTGGGGCGTTTAGAAAAGGGACAATGGCCTCTGCTTGCCTTAAAGCCAGACACTTCAATTTCTCCCTATATGCCAGCAGTGCATTTCAAGCTACTACTCTGGTGCTGGAGCTCAGAAGGAGTGAGTCTGAGAAGGCATGTGTTAGGAACCGGCCTGTCTGGTTTCAGAAGCTATAACACCCGATGGCTAAGGCTGATAAAGGACCTTGAGACCACAAGCCACTAAGGGGACAAAGCTTATCTTCCTGGTAGGGGCACTGCCTCTGCCACCTTTTACTTCATCTGCTTGGCCTCGGCCAGATGACTGGTTAGCCAATGCTGGGTAAGATTCCTCAAGGGAAGGACAACTTAAGATAGGCACGGTCGCAAAGGGGCCCTCAGGGAAGGACTTGGGGGACTATAAAAAATTGGGGGTGATGGACCCTAGCCCCTCAGCTTTGACATAACCTGAGTTCTCATGCTGCCTGCAAGAAGTCTCCTAATCTCTTGGCTGTCTTACTTTCCCTGCCTGACTTAAGCCTGAAACAATTCTGAAGGGCAGTGAAGCCCTGGGCAGGAATGGATGGTTCCCTGGAGTGCAATCAGGCCTAAAAAAGAATGCATAAAGTCCTGTGAAACCTGCTTTGCTAAGAATGCCCTCAATTTAAATGTTAAGGGTCCAAGCATAGAATGAGTTTGTTTTTCCAAAGTTTTATGGCCCTTTAGCTATCTGACCCTGACTCAGAATAAGCCCTCAGAGTTCTCTGAATGTTATTTATTTTTTTTATCCTTACTGCCTGACAATGACTGATGAGCTTTACCTGTATTCCTATGAACCCAATAAAAGCCCATTGAGGAATAGGCTCCTGGACCTTCTCCTTTGTGAGATCCCCCTCCTTTCTTCCCCACGAAAACCATGTCTTGGTAGACTTATTCACATCCATGGCAGCCAGGGGGGCCCTGCAGGCAGAGCTCCCCCACAGGTATGTCCACGTGTGGGTTCTTTAAGAGGAACTGTTTGAGGCTCCAGCAGTTTCTTTCGCTGACTCAATCCCCACTGGTTTTGCAGCCAGAAGTTGTCGGAACCTATCCTCCTGGCACTGGAATCCTGGGCTATGGGGACTTGATATGGGGCTGGGACTCCTCACTCCTGAGATATCCTTCCTGACTTTTACCCACCACACAGGAGTAAGAGACCAGCCTGTTCTGTGTCTGCACCCCCTCTTAGCAATCTGGACAGATGTAGTTTCTTTAATTCCGTAGTTGTCAGATTTCTATTCAACTTAAATAGAGACAGTCTGAGTGATGGTTTTAGTATATTTTAACTGTAATTTTGATATGGTTATGCAAAGTGACAAACCATGTGTGCCTATGCCACTGTCTTGAATGGAAATCCACTAACACATTTTAAATGTCTATACTCCCTTACAGAGATAGAAAATAATCCAATTCTAACAAAGCCATGCCATAGCTCAAATTTCATGTTTTAAATTCAGTAAAAGAAAAAAATGGCTTTGGCTGGTGTGGCTCAGTGGATCAAGCGCTGGCCTGTGAACCAAAAGTCTGCAGGTTCGACTCCCAGTCAGGCAAGCCAGGTCCCCAACTGGGGGGCATGCAAGAGCCAAATGATCGATGTTTCCCTCCCTTCCCCTCTCTCTACAAATAAGAAAATAAAAGAGTTCCAGTCAAGATGGAGGCATAGGTAAAAACCCTTCGCTTCCTCCCACAACCAAAAAGAAGATAACAACCAATCTAAAATCCATGGCAAGACAGAGGACCATGCAGGCTGAATGGGAAACTGAGACTCAGAGCTGTGTACTATGGCAGTGGCAGTCTCACATTAGGGTTCTCTAGAAAGTAAAGCTAGAGACTAGCAAGCGAGCTGCACTGTTCCCTTTCTGGCCCCTCCCCCACACAGTGTTACAGTGCAGCAAAGAGGGATGCCCTGTACTGGTGAATACCTAAGGCCCCACCCCCCCTACAACTTAACTGGTATCCCAACACACAAAAATATGGCCCAAATGAAAGAACAGAGCAAAACTCCAGAAAGAGAGCTAAGCAAGGAGGAAACTGCCAACCTCTCTGATGCAGACTTCAAAGCCCTGGTAATCAAAATGCTCACAGAACTGACTGAGCTTGATCGCAAAATGAAAGAACAAATGAAGAATACCCAAAGTGAAATAAAGCAAAATATTCAGGGAACTGACAATGACAGGAAGGAAACCAGGACTCAAATCAATGACTTGGAATAAAAAGAAGAAATAAACATCCAACTGGAACAGAATGAAGAAACAAGAATTTTAAAAAATGAGGAGACACTGAGGAACCTCCTGGACAGCTTTAAACGTTCCAACATTCTAATCATACAAGTGCCAGAAGGAGACGAGGAAGAGCAAGAAATTGAAAACTTACTTGAGAAAGTAATGAAGGAGAATTTCACCAATCTGATGAAAGAAACAGCTTTCCAGGAAGTCCAGGAAGCCCAGAGAGTCCCAAAGAAGTTGGACTCAAAGAGGAACAAACCAAGGTACATTATCACTAAGTTACCCAAGATTAAAGATACCGAATCTTGAAAACAGCAAGAGAAAAGGAGACAGTCACCTACAAAGAAGTTCCCATCAGACTGTCAGCTGATTTCTCAAAAGAGACCTTACAGGCAAGAAGGGGCTGGAAGAAAGTATTTGAAGTCATGAAAGGCAAGGACCTACATCCTAGATGACTCTATCCAACAAAGCTATCATTTGGAATGGGAGGGCAGATAAAGCACTTCCCAGATAAGGTCAAGTTAAAGGAGTTCATCATCACCAAGTCCTTATTATATGAAATGTTAAAGGGACTTATCTAAGAAATTAAAGAAGAGCAGAAACTATGAACAGCAAAATAACAACAAACTCACTACCACCAATAAACAAACCTAAAAAAAAAGAAAAACAATGAAAACAAAAACTAAGCAAACAACTAGAACAGGAACAGAATCAGAGAAATGGACATCACATGGAATGTTTCTGGTGGAGAGCAGGAGGGGAGGAATCGGGGGTAAAAGGTATAGAAAATAAGAAGCATAATTGGTACACATAAAATAGATGGGGAGAGATAAAAATGATAGAGGAAACAGAGAATTCAAAGAACTTATATGTACAATCCCATGGACATGAACTAAGGGGTGGGATGCTGGAAGGTTAGGGGTGCAGGGCAGAGGCGGGATAAAGGTGTAAAAACTAGGGAGACTGTAGTAGCATAATCAATAGTATACTTTAAAAAATTAATAGATAAAATCTTGAAGAAAGAAATAGTGTTTGTTTTCAACACTATTCCAAGCAAGAATAATGGAAAAAACTGGACTAGGTCTTTAGGTAGCATGGAATGGTAATATTCATAATTTTTTAAAGAACAGAGACTACATGTTATAATGTCCACATACCACTCAGTGCTCCAACAGCTCCAAAATTTAAGGATTTTCCATCCATTATGCTGGCATCACACTCAATTTCACCCAAGAGATTTAGATTAGATCCCATTCCTGCATTTGTAAAAGGAGAATCCTAAAAGATAAAAACAAAAATTAAAATACCTTTAGTCTTAAAAAGCATTTAATGTCAATCCTTCATAACCTGTTCCATAAACTAAAAAAAGATAGAACACTTCCCAACTCATTATATGACAGTAATACTAACTATGATTACCAAACAAAACAAAGACATCATGAATGAAGAAAACCTACAAGTCAAAATACCTTATAAATATTGATGCAAAAAATCTTTAAGGAAATACAAGCAAACCAAATGCAACAAAACATAAAAGAAGTGTATACATGAAAAGTAGGGATCCCAAGGAAGCAAGTTTGGTTTAATATTTGAAATTCAATGTAATTCACCATGTTAATAAAGGACCAAAAAACAAAACACCATGATCATGTCAACAGAGAGAAAAGAAAAAAGAATTTGATAAAATCCAACACCATTTCATTAGGAAAAAAAAAGTTCAAACTAGAAGGAGAAAGGATCTTAATATGATAACGGGCACCTACAAACAGTTCAGCACTGACAGTACAATAGTGAAAGACTGAATGCTTTTCCCTGAGCTCAGGAACAATACAGCACAACAGTGTTTACTCTCACCACTCCTAGTCAACATTATACTGGAAATCTGGACAGGACAACAAGGAAAGAAAAACAAATAAAGAGCATCTACATTGTAAAGAAACAAGTGAAGTTGTAAATAAAGAAAGAAAAACAAAGAGCATCTACATTGTAAAGAAACTATTTGAAGATGACACAATCTTATACACAAAAAAATCCTCAGGACTCCACTAAAAATGACTAGAACTGATAAAGAGTTCAAAAGGGATGCAAGATATAAGATCAACACACAAAACTCAATTTTTTACCTATACACTAGCAATAAACAATCAAAAATGACATTAAGAAAACAATTCTACTTACAATAAAAGCAAAAGAAGTTATGAATAAAATTCAATAGTGTAAGATGTACCTGCTGAAAATTACAAAGCACGTTAAAAAAAATTTAAGACCTAAACAAATGTAAGGACAGTCTGTACATAGGTCGGAAGGCTTACCATCTTCAAGATGCAATATTCCCCAAATTGTTCTGAATCAAAAGAATCACTTGTCAAATCCTAGCAGTGTTTTTTTTCTTTTTTGACAGAAATTGACAAACTAGTCGTAAAATTCATATGGGAAAATGTACAAGATTCAGGATATACAAAATGATCTTGAGAAGAAAAACAAAACTGGAGGGCTCACACACATCTAGGGTTTATAACTTAATACATAACTACAGTAATCAATACAGTATGATACAGTCATAACACTAAGGATAAACAGATAAATCAATGCAATATAATTGAGAGTCCAAATATAAGCCTTCCAATTTATGTTTAATTCAACAAGGATGTAAAACAATTCAATAAAGGAAAGACAATCTTTTCTTTTTTTTTAATATATTTTATTGATTATGCCATTACAGTTGTTCTATTTTCCCCCCTTCATTCCCCTCCACCCTGCACACCCCTCCCTCACCATCCCCCCCTTTAGTTCAGGAACACGTGTCTCAAGTTCTTTAGATTCTATGTCTCCCCTACTATTCTTGCCCTCCCCCCTATCTATTTTCTACCTACCTTCTATGCTACTTATTTTCTGTACCTTCTCCCCCCTTCTCCTCCTCCCACTCCCCTGTTGCTAACCCTCCATGTGATCTTCATTTCTATGGTTCTGCTCCTGATCTAGCTATTCTCTTAGTTTGCTTTTGTTTTCGGTGTGGTTGTTAATAACTGTGAGTTTGCTGTCCTTTCACTGTTCATCTTTTTTATCTTCTTTTTCTTAGGTAAGTCCCTTTAACATTTCATATAATAAGGGCTTGGTGATGATGAACTCCTTGAATTTGATCTTATCTGAGAAGTACTTTATCTGTCCTTCCATTCTAAATGAAAGCTTTGCTGGGTAGAGCAATCTTGGATGGAGGTCTTTGCATTTCATGAGTTGGGATAATTCTTTCCAGCCCCTTCTTGCCTGTAAGGTCTCTTTTGAGAAATTCGCTGACAGTCTGATGGAAACTCCTTTGTAGATGACTGTCCCCTTATCTCTTGCTGCTTCTAGGATTCTCTCCTTCATTTTAATCTTGGCTAATGTAATTATGATGTGCCTTGGTACGTTCCTTCTTGGGTCCAACTTCTTTGGGACTCTCTGAGCTTCCTGGACTTCCTGGAAGTCTATTACCTTTGCCAGATTGGGGAAATTCTCCTTTATTATTTGTTCGAATAAGTTTTCCACTCGTGGCTGTTCCTCTTCCCCTTCTGGTACCCCTATAATTCGAATGTTGGAATGTTTAAAGATGTCCTGGAGGTTCCTAAGCCTCTCCTCATTTTTTAAAATTTTTGTTTCTACATTCTTTTCTGTTTGGTCATTTTTTTCCTCTTTCTGGTTCACTCCTTTGATTTGAGTCCCAGTTTCCTTTCTATTACTGTTGGTCCCCTGTGCACTTCCATTCATTTCAATTAGTTTAGCCTTCATATGTTCCTCTAATTTGTGACTAAAATCAACCAGTTCTGTGAGCATCCTGATCACCAGTGTTTTGAATTATGCATCTGGAAGTTTGTCTATTTCTTCATCACTCAGATTAATCAGCTCTGGTGCTCTGAGTTGTTCTTGAGCCATGTTTTGATCTGTTTGTGCCTGTTAGGTATGAGGAGCTGAGCCTTAGTTGTTTACCAGGGCGGGGCCACCCAGGTCACTGGTTTGTGACACTGTAGGTGGGGGCGGGGTCAGAGAGGGACAATGGCAGTCCCCTCCGCTGCTTCCTGCCACTGGGGCCTGCACGGTCTGTCTCACGGCTCCTTCCTTCACCAGTTTATCTGCATGCAAATGCGTGACTGTGGTCAGCCCTCAGTGAGTCCACCACCTTGCACCCTCAGTGGGTCCACCCGCTTCTCCACACCTGGGATCCGCCTACTGCTGCTGGCGCACCTGGGTTGCGCACCCGGGTCGGTCAGGTGGATCTTTCCTGCCCGACCCCGCTCTGCTGCTGGCTCTGCCCCTCTTACCGGTTTGGCTGAAGGGTTCGTTGTTGTCAAACTTCCGTGAAATTCAATTATCTGTGATTTTGGCTGCGTTTTTGTTGCTAAAACTTTATTGTTTTTAAACTTGGTTGTGGGAGGAGGCACAGTGCTTCCACCTACGCCTCCATCTTGGCGGACGTCCAAGACAGTTTTTTTCTGTAAATGGTGCTGGGACAACTAGATATTTATAAACAAGAGAATGAATTTAGATTATCTCATACCATATACAAAAAATTAACTCTAAGGGATCAAAGACCTAAATGTAATAGTTAAAACTATAAAATCCTTCAAAGAAAACCAAAGGGCTGCCCTGCCTGGTGGAGCTCAGTGGATTGAGTACTGGCCTAAGAACCAAAGAGTGGCTGGTTTGATTCCCCTTTGGGGCACATGCCTAGGTTGCAAGCCAGGTCCTCAGAAGGGGGCACGTGAAAGGCAAACACATGTTGATGTCTCCCCCCCCTCTCTTTCTCCTTCTCTTTCCCTCTCTCTAAAAACAAACAAATAAAAATCTTTTAAGGAGGGGTGACAAAGCAAATGTTCATGACCTTGTATTATACAATGCTTTCTTAAATACGGCACCAAAAGCACAAGCAACCAGGAATAATTTTTAGTAAACTGGACTGAACCAAAATTAACACCTTGTGTTAAAAAATACATCCTTAAAAAGGGTAGGAAAAAACTCACAGAATGGGAAAAAAACTCCAAATCATTTATCTCATAAGAGATTTGTATCCAGGAAATATTTTTTAATTCTGCAACTCTAAACTAAAAACATAACAGAATTTTTTAAAGATTTTATTTATTTATCTTTAGATAGGAAGGGAAGGAGAGAGGGAGAGAAATATCAATGTATAGTTGCCTCTCATGCGTCCCCTGCCGGGAACTGGCCACAACCCAGGCATGTGCCCTGACTGGGAACTGAACCGCAATCTTTTGGTTCACAGGCCCGCGCTCAATCCACTGAGCTGCACCAGCCAGGGCCCATAACAGAATTTTAATAAGGGCAAAAGATATAAATAAACATTTCTTCAAATAAGCTATGTATATAGCCAATAAGCACCTAAAAAGATGCTTGACAATATTAGTTATCAGCAAAATGCAAATCAAACTACAATAAAATACTACTTCACACCCACAATTCTACTTACAATAACATTAAAAAGAATCAGAACGAAAAATGTGTTGGCAAGCATATGAAGAAATTAGAACCCTCATATATTGCTGGTGGGAATGTAAAAAGGTATAGCCACTTTGGAAAACATCTGTAAATTCCTCAAAATGTTAAACAAAGCTTTGGCTGGTGTGGCTCAGTAGATTGAGCGCCAGCCAGCCTGAGAACTAAAAGGTTGCTGGTTGATTCCCAGTCAGGGCACATGCCTGGGTTACAGGCCAGGTCCCTGGTTGGAGGCACAACTATTTTCTTTCACGCTGATGTTTCTCTCCCTCCCTTTCTCCCTCCCTTCCCATCTCTCTGAAAATAAATGAATAAAATCTTTTAAAACAATTTTTTTAAAGTTAAACAGAGTTGACCCATCAATTCTACTTCTAGGTATGTATCCAAGAGATATAACTTGTCTACACAAAACCTACACATGAATATTCTAAGGTAAGAACCTACTGTTCTAAGGTAAGATCAATATTACCTAGAAAACCCAGGCAATTTGGATCAACCTAAGTATCACCAAATGCCCCAAATCATCTACAAATGTCCCCAGTTTGGTGAATTTCTGCCAAATGCAAGAAAAACTGACAACATTAAAACCTTCCTAATATGCACCTATACCTTGAGCAAAGGGGTGAGGGAATTGAGACAGGGCTTTTGTCTTAATGCAGTTAGACAATGTAATTGTCCACAGAATTTTAAAAATAAGACCACAGGCTGTATAATTAAATAGAAAATAAATGATAGAAATGATCAACATTTTGAGCACTCAAAAGGCAATAGCCCACTAGAAGATGGAGAATTTA